TTTCCCTAGAATGTGCACCCTTCTTTCTCTCTTTCCTACCACAAATATTTACTGAGCACCCACTCTGAGCCAGGCCCTGGCCTGGGGGGAACGCAAGGAGCAAGGTGGACTGAGCGAGACCTGGGGAGGGGGAATGTGTGATGAGGTACAGTCCCGGCGGTCGCTGTCACGTGGGGACTTCAGGAGCACCTCCCAACCCAGTTTGGGGTGGGCAGAGGTTAGCAAAGCCTTCCTGTAGGAGAAGTCATTTGATCGGTTCTGGCAGATAAGTAAGAGTCGGCCCCCCAAGGGCGAGGGAAGAGGGCAGCATCCCTGGCGGAGGGATCTCACTCTAGGCATTAAGGAGCCTCACCCCAGGGCCACAGTCTACAGTCTCTGCGGCGAGGGCTGAGCTCCAAGGTAATTTTTCTTACCCGCTCTGCCTAGACTCTTCTCTTTTCCTCCTATCGTGTGGCATTGGAGTGGGGTCTGTTTATTATTTATCGAAAATAAAAAAATAAATTTAATTTGACTTTGAGTTGGTGATACATATGCTGAAGTAGTTGGGGTAGGTGAAATTGATGAATGTCTGGAATTTAGTCCGAAATTTAGTCCAGAGGGTTAGAGGCATGGATATGTACTAAAGCAAATACAGCAGGAGGTTAAAAACCATTCCTCAGGATAGACTGGACAATCCAGATGGTTCACTGCATAATTCTCTCAATTTTTGTATGTGTTTGAAATTTACCACAATAAAATATTGGAGGAAAAATTCAATCGACCATACTAAAGATTCCGTTATCTTTCTATTCTCCCCATAGAAAGCGTATTTACAAATGCATTCTAATGTGAAAAAGTCACCAGAGAGTAGGGAGCCAAAAATGCAAGGAAAAAAGTACTATCGGGACACGTTGAACAGCAAATTACGTAGTTTTCCAGGGTACGTGATACATGTGATACGTTAAACATAACTTGCTGTGATTTATTTTCTCATTCTCACGTTTAGTTAATATTCATTTTGTTCTAATTTACATTCTTTTTCAGAAGGCCCCCAGAATTATAGAATCTTTGGGCCATACAGCACCGGGCTCATCCCCGACCTCATCCCTGGCCTCCAGGGCCTTGATGTTAAAGACCCAGAAGAGCCAGTGGAAGCCTGGGGGTGGGGACACGGTAACTGAGTCCCGCAGCCTGGAGTCTGCCGCTTCGGAGCGGGGGGGCTGGCCTGCGGGCACCTGTGAAAGCTCAGGCAGCCCCAAGACCCCCATCAGCAGAGATTGGTCCTGGGGAAGGCTGCCCACCCGGAGGCCCCATCGCAGAGACGAGAGAGAACCATCCTGTGAGAATCTGTTCTGTGCCAGGCAAGGGGGCCCTAGCCCAGGGCTCACAGGTATGCGAGGGGCACAAGGCTGGAATCTGGCCTCCACTGGCCCTCTTGCTCAGGTGCCCCCTGTAAGCAATTCTCACACGGCCACACAGAGCAGCCCTGAGGCCAGGACTGTCCGTCACACCTCACAACCGCCCTTTCCTTTTATACACGAGGAAACTGAAGCTCAGAGAGGCTAAGTCACTGGCCCAAGGTGACCACTGCATAGAGGGGAGTTGGGCATGGACACAGGAATCCAAGGGTGATGGGAACCCTCATGGGCATGAAGAAAAGGTGAGTACACTGGTCCTGGCCGAGCCCAGGAAGGTCACTGAGGAGTCCTCTGTGACACCCACAGAGAAGAAGAGGGGAGAGGGACGGGAGAGCCAAAGGGTCGGGGAGGAGCCAGGACAGAAAGGGCTTTGAATTCCAGCACCAGGAGTCGGGTATATTTCCTGCAGGGCATCTGGTCAGCCTGCAGGTCCCCTGCCAGGTTCTCCTGATGTGATAAAAAATCATCCCTCAGGATCAGCCATCTTTAGACCTGCTTCTGTTGCCATCAAGGGACTGCTTTCCAGCAGCGCCACATCCCACAGGCACCGGATGAGTGGCCTTGCTGAGCAGGCTCAACTGTAAACACAGCAGACTGCAGGCTGCCTGGCTCTTAGCCTGTCGAATTCCTGAAATGCCAACTCAGACATCACCCCCTCCTGGAAGTCTTCCCTGATTGCCACAGCTCCCACACCCCCACTCTTGAATTCATGCATTCCTCTACCACTGTGCATACACTGCTATGTTGCCATCCACCAGTGTATGCATCTGCTTGTACAACAGGACAGTGACCTCCCTGAAGGCAGGGCACAGCCACACCCAACTCTGTCTGTGGTGCCTCACATACAGCCATGCTCAATAAGTCATACATGAATGAAACAGGGAATGAACAAACGAACCAGCAGACAAGCTGGTCCTGGCAGAATCTGAGTAGCGTGAACCTGAATCTCCAGGGCTCAGGCACGCCTGATCCACCCCCACTTGGGGGGCTGGCGGTTCCAAGTTGGGCACATGCTCCGGGGCTAGCAGACAGCTCTCAGCAGACTGGGCTGCATTCAGACACCTGCTTGTTGCAGAGCAGACCAGATGCCAACACCTTTGGTTTGCCAGGTGATGGACACTGCAGCAGTACTCTGCCTGGGGGATGCATTTCCAGCTAACCAAAGTAAGACTCACATCAGGGGGCACCTTGGGGCAAGTGGAATAGGGCAAAAGGGTAGAATCAGAAGCACAGACTAGAATAGGGACATGTTTTAGAATATGTATGTTAAACAGAAACTTCTTGTATCCTGGGTCACCTGTTATCTTCACGCAACTAGCCTGGGCTGGTGACACTGATAGCCAGAATCGATCAATTAGTAGAGAATCACACACTGCCTTGAGGCACTATCGCACTCCCGAGATGGTGTGTTCTTCCCAGTGATGCCTGAGGGTAGCGAGCACGAACTTGTACATCTTTGTACCTGGCTGGCTTCCTCCACGGGGCTAGTTTTCAAACTTTGAATTAGAAACATGGAATTGTTCCCCACCTCTCTCCTCTTTGCTCTCTGAGCCAGGCTTCCTTAGAGCCTGCAGAGACGGTGCTGGGCCCGGGGATGAACGGCTGTACTGAGCCCCAGGGGCTGGGAAGTGCAGGTGGGGTCCTGCCCTGAGGCCTAGTGGTCTTTTCGATCAGGTGAGTGACCGGAACAAGGGACAGGATAGAGAAGAAACTGTACGACAGGCCCAGGCTGCCCTTTCTGAGACAGCACTAACCTTCTGTCCAAAGTAGAGCTTGGTGAAGGTGAAGGTCCTCAGGCAAACGCTCTTCTCCCGGATCTTGGGCTCGAGTTTCTCCCGGAACTTGTTTTCCATAATCATGCTTAGGAAGGGCCAGGTCTGGGAGATGATCTGTGAGGACAGGAAGAGGCTCTCCGGTGGTCCGGTCTGTGTCCCCACCCCAGACCCTCGCTGAAGCTTTTAGGCCTAGGAGCATGGCCATCTCTGGTCTAATCTCGGCCTTTGCTAAAATCTAACTTGAAATTTCACTTAGAAAATTTAACATTCAAATTTTGTATGTTAAAAATATTTTAAAATATATTTAAATATATGCATATAAGGGCCATGGGACCCTTACACTGCAGCACGCATCTGCTTGCATGCCTGCCAGCCCACCCATCTACCCACCTATCCATCTGTCCGTCCCTCAAACATCGGATAACTACAGCAGTGATTCTCACTCTTGTGCAGGCAGTGGAACCCCCAGGATTTGGTGCCATTTGCAGAGCACCATGAAACAGTCATTCACTAAACCTAACATTATGAAGCCCTTTAGTTCTGTGCTAAAACATAAATTATCTAACTCTGAGGTACAAGCACGAAGTAGCAGGATGCAGAGGTTTAAGGAAAAAAATTGCAGAAGAGAAACTTAAATTGTTTTCTGTGGATTTGATTTTTTTCTAGCAACCAGAAAAGGCCACTTTCCACTGACTCGTGGAGCTGGTCTGGGAACCAAGCACAGGGCCTGGAGAGAGGAAGGCTGGCAGAGAGATGGGGTCTGGAGGCAGAAGAGTGAGAGGGAGGGCTAGCAGCTGAGAGGGTCTCTTTGGGGCAAAGGCTTCTTCCATTTCCGTCTGTCAGTCTTGGGCCTCAGTTTAAAGATACGCCTTCCCCTTTCCAAACCAGTAACTGGAGAAGGCTAGAGGCATGACGTTTCAGGGCTTTCTCCATCTCTCCCGGGGGCTCTCTATGAGCTGGCCCCATCTCCCTGTCTTGCTGCTTTGTCATTGGCTAAGTGCCTCTTGAGTACAAAGCTCCCTGGGACTTAGTTGGTGGCCTCTTGTGTGGTTCGTCTACACAACTGTTTCCCCATCTGAGCCCTGAACGGAGGGCAGGCTCCTCATCCCAGCAACGGTCACGTACCCAGCAGCTTGTGTGGGCCCGTGGTGTGGTGCACAAAAGCCACCATGCATGCAGGGCCCGTGAACCAGCTGACACACATGCGGGGAGAACGCTATTTTGGGGGCACAGCACAAGGTCTGTCCCAGACGCCCTAGGCCTGCGTTAATCCACAGAAATCTGATCGCTCTTAAGGTAACAAGCTACTTCCTCCAAATTTTACCCAGAGGCTGGGAACAGTTTTTGATCCGCTTGGCAATGACATTTTAGGTAATGTGAGAACAGCCGCCTTAGATCAAAACCCGTCAGGAAGTCCTTTCATATATCTAACCTAAGTCGTTCCTACTCTGGGCTAAGCCTCTATCCAGAACAGAGGCAAGGTTTGTATTAGAGAAAGTCCCGAGGAAACTAGAGGTGGGTTACAGGAGCCTTCACCTTTAGGGACAGGTTTGGGCAGATGGGGTACTGGCCAGACTCTGACGCCTCATCTGTAAGGTGGGGAGCAGACCTGGAGTCTCAGAGCCCAGCCCAGGGAGTTCCCCTGCATGATCCAACAGCAGTCATAAGGATGATGACAGCCATCCCAGCGCCAACGATGTGCCAGGCACTGTGGTGCATTAATTACCTCATTAATCCTCACAACAACTCCAAGGGCAGGGGCCATAATTATTCCCATTGCACAGAGGAGGGAACCAGCTCTGAGATGTTAGGCAACCTGCCCAAGGTTGCACGGCCAGTGCTGGGGGATCTGGTCTGGGAACCAGGCCAAACTCAGCGGCAGCTGTGGAATCACCCCCTTCCTCTCTGAGGAAGCGCATATCGGGGCGCAGGGGGCCACGGGAGGCTGCACTGTTCTCTCTAGTCTCTGTATTTTCTAACTTTTCTGCTGCAGCCATGTGTTACATTCACAGTTTAAAAAAAATTGTTGTTGCTTTTTTGCCCCAAAGAAAATAAAGTCATCCTATGGTGATGAGCAGAACCCAAGGGTGGTAAAGGCAAGAGGCAGGCGGACAAGCGGCAGCAGCGAGGGCCTTTGTCCACATGCTGTCCTGGCCCCCATCCCTGCTGGTGACTCAGCCCAGGGCAGCAGGGAGAGGACCAGGCCTGGAGTGAGGCCAGCCCCACGAGGCCCTGCCGGCCTTACCTTGTTGGCCCACTCGACACGCTCCACGTCTGGAAAGTGGATCTAGGGAACAGAGAAGCCCCAAGGGCAAGTTAGACTTGAGACCTGCGTGCCCCCTGGGAACCACACGAGCGGCCTAGTGAGCCTGGCAGTGCTGCCAGGCAGGTTCCTGCTCCCACTCCCAACCACCCCGAGCACCCCAACCCCACGCCTGGCCTGAGACTCAGTGGGGGCCCTGCCCTCGAGGTTAGAAATAACCAGAGGACGCCCACGTGCAACAGTGATACTGACAAGGTGGGAGACGCCAGCAACAGCTTGGAGATGCGCTTGTGGGCCCCTCTCCTGGCTGTGCAAACAAGCTGCCCCTTCCGGGTACAAGCACAGAACCCCAACTTGGGCCCTCCTCCCCAGGGTAATACCAAGTTTGCTCCTGGCAAATTCCATCCTAATTATTCCTTTTAATGACAGAGGTAAATATTCTGCAGAAAAATTAAAAATGTACCTAAGCTAAAGAGAAAACATTTTATCAGAGAATGCCACCCAGTAACAACTGCTGCTTAACAGGCTGATGCATTCCTTCCAGTCTTTTCCAGAAATAAGTAGGTGTAGTTTCCACAGAACTTGAACTCACCGTGTTTTGTAGCCTGCTTTTTTTCACCTAACAGTATATTATGATTCTGCTGACTCTCAAGTTAACTGTTGCCAATTTGAAAAGCCATAGAGAGCATCCTGTTGTTTTCATTGGCAACTGGGAGCATGGGTACCTGGGGTGGGGGTGGGGGGCTCCTCAGCTCCCAGGAGCTCAGCCCAAGCCTCATGCCTTCCCTAGCAGGGAGGTCCCTCAGGATAGGTCCTATAGCAAATCATCCTGCAGGTCACAGCCTCCAACCAGTGAGGCTGGGTGAGTCCTGCCACATCTGTGGGAGAGGGAGGTGTTCCCAAGGTGAATTGATAATACTGTTGGCTAAACACTGCATGACAAAATTTGAGGGGGCTTAACACCCTCCCCACGAGAATCTCAGTTTCCAAATATGTCTGCTGAGCTTCTCATCTCCCCCATCCCCACCCTCCCGAG